CAGTAGAATTATCCTTTTAGCTGATGCAAATTATCATAGTTTCCTTGAAGTCAGAGCAAATAGTTTAAATTATACCATTTAAAGATCTGGCCTGAAATCAGCATGAGGGGGAATATGAAAAAGAAAACAAAACACATTGTATACTAATATCAATTATAGAATTTAAAAAACAGTCTAGAAGCTTTCATTGTTGTAGTGAAAATGAACACCCCTTGGATCAACAGATGAGTATGAGTTGCACATTTTTTGAAGGCTCTTGGAGAGAGTTTTGGGTCCACAGAAGAATACACCGATACTATTGCTGCAACAAGAAGAGACATCAGAACAAAGAGATAAAATATATCTTTTGGCAATCCTCAGCTGTGTTTACATCTTACAGTACAGCTTTCTGAAAATTACAGTTTGAATGTGTTTCCCCATGTTAATGTCACTAAATTATTATCTCAAAACTACATTTCTAATTCCTTAGTTTTTATTGTATCTTATTTGGACATATGTGTTTCATGTTTATTATGTATCTGCACCTGAGCCTGTAAAATACTTTCAATGATAATTCTTTGTTTTCATATCTCATAGCTTTAAAAAATGGAAAAACACCCTTTGAGTTTAAATTTTCCATGCTTTGTCTCCAGCTGGAGGTTTTTTTTTAAAGCATGAAATCCCAGCAATTATTTTTAGTTCTAGGCAGATAAAAAATACACACCTTTTCACAGACATAATTTTTAATTTTTACATTTGAATTTTGAAATTTTACATATATGTTGTCTTTATAGAAACAAGCTTGCAAACAATTCTCTCAGTAAAAATAATACAAATTACTGAAAACTGGTTCCTTCTGCAAAGTAAGATACTGCAGACAGCCATTTTTAAACATTTGCCCTTACTAGCTGTGCTCCTGTTGGTGTTACATTTTTAGAGTTTGTACCACCAGGAAACTGAATCTGCAAAGACAAAATGTGGGTTCTGGAGGCTGATCCTGCCCACAATGGTATCCTGCTGCTGTTGATCCATTTTATCTAATGACTATTACAAAAAACCCAAACACACGTTGCAAGACAAGAAGAGGACGGGACAGGACCCAGGACCCTCTCCATTCTAGGGCCATGCTCATTTCACTAAGCTATGATCCCTCAGCCCTGCTGCCCACTTGTCCCCACATATTCCCCTCCTGGCTACACAGCACACAACCGTTGTGAGAAGAATGATGTGGGCAACGCCAGGTTTGTGATGTAATGGTCAGATCACATTTGTTCAGAGTGGAGTGGGATAGGTAGGCTCAAACTTCCCTCTTCCACCCTGGGCAAGTGTCCTAACCACTAGGCCATTGGGGTAAAAGTGAGAAAGCCAGATTCCATGTCTTCCAGCATCAAACAGATATTGGTCATACTTTTTTCATACATTCAAGGACTGACGTTGTCAGACAGACTATGATTACTATGCACAATGTACAGCCACACTGGAGATTTCTGAGTGTGCTCAGAAGTGCAAGTGGAGGTGGAATCCCCCCCAATCTACTTAAGTGCAAAAATGCCTTTTATGTGGCTGTATTTGAATGTGTAAGTAGCAAGACTAAAAGGTGAAATAGGATTTGGCCCTTAGTTTCTAGATGGGCAGTTTTTTGCATTGCACTATGCAACAGACATTAGCCAATGTGGTAAATTCCTGGTGTTACAGATATGCCACTACTCATACCCCCTGCCAAGAGATTCTGTGCACCTTTAAGGGAAAGACAACTTATGGGCCTAGACTCAGTACTCTACCAGGGTGATAGACTCTGGTTAGTTCATGAAATTTGACTGTCTCTCCCCCACTGCCAATAACAGTAGTTTCTTTGCCTTGAACCATGTGTGATAATATAGAGCCCCTTACTGCATAGAATTTTGCCCCTTATTGCATAGAAAATGCTTATCTTGTTCATTTTTTTCTTCTGAAAGGTTTGAAGTTGACTTTAAACATTGGAATCTAGGTTCATAAGCAAATGGGAGCTCTCACAACTTCCACCCTAGGATTTTAAAGTACTAAAACACCTAGGACAGAGATCAGAAACACTTCTCTGCATCATCTTTTGTTCTGTCTGTGGAAATTAGAACAGATAATATCTTTTCTTGAAGATTCAGGGCTGTAGTGTGAAAATTGCTAATTAATAGTTTTGACTGCAAATCTGCTTTTTAAAGATAGAATTTTGTAGTAGCATTGCTTAAAAAAATAAAGCTCATATTTTCTAGTCTCACTCTTTTGCCTATTTTTAATCTTCCTTTTTATGTCCTGATTTGTGCTTATTTTGACCTCTATCACAAGGTTTCCCTATTACTGTTATTTTTGCAATTTTATGGTGCTTCTGTAGCTTACTCTTTTCTCTTTGATCTCTTTCCCTTCCAGGTTTTATTTTTTTATCCTTTAAAAACTGTTTTCTCTCTCCTCTTTTTTTTAACTCTTTCTCCCAAGTGCAAAGCCTTTATTTTGCATTAACAGGTAAAAACCTTTGGAAATAATAAAGAATCACAAAGATTCCACAATTTTCTAGCGATGAATACAAAAATATTTCAAATTCTTGCTTCAAAGACTTCCAGGAACAAAGGAGCTTTTTTCAGACCACTAGCAAATCCACCAAGTTCAAATGAACTGTCTTTGCCAGCAGAGATGAACTAATAACAGAACAGCATAGTTTTGCAACAGTAGCCAAATATGTTAGGGGAACAAACATATCCTTGACATCATAAGAAAAAAAATCACAGTTTATCTCTTTAATAACCATCTTCAAGGGAAATTAATGTTACTTTGTCCTTTGTGCAGAACAGTAATTGGATTGTGTGTTTCAATTATATCTGGACAAAGGCCAGGATATTGAAATACTTCTAAATATTAGATTTTCTTGTCCAAAAATTAGATTTTATTGGCATTCTCTTTCCGAGATTTCTTCATTAAAAGCTTCATTAAGCATAAATCTTCTTTCTACACAGCAAAAAACTAAATTATTTTAAAAGGGTCATTTAAAAAGGCTTGCCCTCCCCCTCCCACTGCTTATGCTGAGAATGAGTTACATAATAAAGTTAAAAGCTAACCTGTCTTACCTAGGATGATTTTCTGCTATTTGCCTGAACTCAGTGTCCCAGTTTGGCCTTCCATAGAAGGTCTTCTGTCTCAGACCAGTAATTACATCCATCTTTTCATCATAATGTAGGGCTATATGAGTAGCCTAAAATAAATTTTCCAGCAAGATAATCATTTTAGAATCAACAATGTATACTCTGAGTAAGAGGTAAAGCAATAATACTGTCTCTGAATGAAGGATAGAAATACTAGTAAGGGTAAAATTATTACAATTACCAGACAGCAGCACTCCAGCACCTAAAACAGGCTGAGAGCTACATTTTTAAGAGTGTATACATACCTTAGAAAAACTTCCATTTTCTAAAGTGACTTAGGATGAGATCCTGAAATGGCTGGGTCCAGATCCTTTACATGCCTACCTCCCATTGAAACTAACAGCACAGTAAAAGCTCTGTTACCCGGCATCCATGGGGAATGGGGGGTGCCAGGTAATCAGAGATTTACACTTATCTCCAGCCTGACAGGTTGGAGGTGTCTTTGCCTGTTTGGGCTGCCACCCCTCCCGCCACGTCCGGTGTGCCGGGACTTTCATTCCCTGGCATCAGTTTGCTGGGGGACAGGAAGGGGGGGCCCTCCACAGGCTGCTTTGCCCTGGCTGTGGTCCATGAGGAAGAAGTGGGACTTGGCTTGCAGCAGCAAAACTGCAAGTGCCACGATGGGACAGATGCTAGTTAATAGAGCATTCCAGATGGTAAAGTGCCAGATAACACAGCTTTTACTGTAATTAAGTGTCTAAATACTTGAAGACTGGGCTAAAGTGCCATAGTTACTTCTAACACCAGGACGTGGGGTTCTGGGTAAAAGTCTACTATGGATTTCATTCATGACAAATAGTGAATTGGAAGGTAGGGCAGGGGAGAGTTAATCATTTTAATGTTGAAAGAAAATAACTTGGGAAAGTTAAACAAAAGTAGATATTTAGTAGTAATTTTAAAATAAATATTAAATATGTGCAGGTGATGGACTGTCTGAGTACCGTAACCATTTTATTTGTACTTGGAAGTTTCTGTTGTTCATGGATTAATAAAGAAGATTATATGCAAGCTGTGCAAGAGAAAAGCTATGATCAGTGTTACTCTGCTGGTTTCCAGGAGGGCATATTAGCCCAGGCAGAGGACCATGTTATTGTACCCAGAGGACTATTCCAATACCCAGGTTAACTCGCTTAGAGCTAGATTATGTATCTCTCCTCTACCATGCAGAAATGTGACACAGATATACCCTAACTGTGCGGATTGACGCACATTCTACATTACACCCATTACCATTATAGCTGAGTACCATTATAGCTGAGTACCTCACAAGTATTTAAAAACAAAACCAGAGCTTCTCTCCATTTTCTTTCCTGTATGGGTAGGAGTAATGTGGTTATTTTATATTATAGACTACTATCATTATTACTGCTGTCCAGAAATTATTGAAGGAAAGCTACGTCAAGAAATGCATTTTGCATCTGATCATGGCATGTCTCATGGTTATTATTACCTCTTGCAAGATTGTATTCCATGGTTTGGACCCATTCTCCAGGAAAATTTCATCTCTAGGGCACATGAGTCTTCACTTACTGCTTGACAGCATAATTGTTTCAGTGGAACATAACTCCCATAAGAGGTTATGATTGTAAGAAAAGATTCATTCTTTGTGCCAGGACCATAAGGGACATTGAGTGTCATAAGTAAGAATTTGAATGGGGTTCTTTGTTCAATGGGGAACTGATATAGATTTAGATGATTTGTTCATGGCATGCTATGGTGCTGAGCAGATGATTTGCTGCATATTTCATTTAATGGAACTGTTCAGGCTGTTTGGCTTCATTCCTAAGTGCAGTAATGCAGTCCAGAGGTCTCAAATGCATTGCTAAGTCTGGGTTTTATTGGCTGCAGTATAGTTTCTTGGCCAGCTGCAGCTAGAAAGGAACTTTTTGCCAACATTTCTGTTTGGTCATCCAGTAACGGTGAGGAATTTGCAATGACCTCAAATTTATGAATAAAACAATGTGAAATGGGGGTGGTGGTTTGGAGGAAGCAAATTCTCCAAAAGGCTTATTTCTTCTTATTAAGATCACCTCTGTCTTGCCTGGGTTTAATTTCATCCAACCGTTCTTCTTTCAAATTCTGAGCTGGGCAGATGGTAAGGTAGCTTGGAGACAATCATAGATTTCGACTGTTGGAAGGGACATGGAGGACCATCTAGTTAGATTCCCTGCATAAGTATAGGATTTGCTGTTCCTAAACCATTACAGACAGATACCTATCCACCCTCTTCTTGAAAGCTTCCAGTGGAGACTTCAAAACTTCCCTAGGCAGCTTGTCTCATTGTCCTACTGTTCTGTACGAGTTTCCTCCTGAAATTTAATCTAAAATTAAGTTCTGGTTTTGTTTTGTCAGGGAGATGTAAAGCTGACTGTCATCTGAGTATTTCTGATATCCAGGGATCTGGGTTTTCATGGAAAACATGGATTTCTCACTTTACCCAAGAAAAACATGAATTTCAAATTTTATTGTAGAAACATGCAGGTTTTGCACTTTTGCAAAAACCTCTCCCAGGCTGGCAGAGTTCTAGCCTGCGAGGGGCTGTGGGGAGCAGCAGGAGGGCAGGGGGTGCCATGTGCTTGTATATGCACATGGCCACCAGGCACCCTGGAGCTCCCCTGGACTGAACTGCTCCCATTGAAAGTAATTTTGCTTCCCATGTGGGTACACATTCAGATGTGTGCCCAGGTTGGTGGTTCATCTCTTTTCTTTTCCTGCAATAGAATCCTTCCATTAAATGGAAACAGCAAAAAAATAAAAAACAAGAGGGATTTTCCTGCAGAGCTGCCACAGAATGCACTCCACTCTTATTTGTATCCCACTTGACCCAAATGACCAGTTAGTAAAACACACAGAAGGATGTCTCATTTGGATGAAAATAAAGAAGCTAAGGGAGACTCCTCATTCTAGAAAATATGTATCTCTGAGTGGGGACTTTTAAATGAAACTGTGGGGCAGGGGGGTGGAGGGGAGCAAATTAAAACAGAATCAATTACCTTTCACATGTGAATTAGCCTGTGGAACTCATTGCTACAAGCTACTGCTGCAGCTAAGAGCTGAGCAAGCTTCAGAAAGAGTATTGCACAGGTGAATAACAAAGGTATAACAGTAAGGTTTTAAAACCATGAACAGCTTCGGAAGTGATGTCAAACCTCATTCTTTAGACTAAGTACTACCTTAATGAAGGGCCACAACAAATTTTACATGTGGATAAGCTGGCCCATAGCAGTTTCCTACAAGGTTTTCCTCACCTCCTCTAAAGCAACCAGCAAGATAACCTACAAGATATTGGATACTGGACTAGATGGAAAACTAGTTTTATCCACTATGTCAATTTCTACCTTCCCATCTGCCTAAAACTGCAATAGAAAGGAGCACCTTAGTGCTTCTACCTGTACAATTCTTTGTCTTTTTGAGTCACTCATCATTCATTCAGCTGTTTCATTCAATATGCTGCCATACTGGAAAAGTAAGGTATATTAACTCAAACACACAGTTATATTATTATTACCTGACTTTCGTCCCAGCCAGTAAGAAATATGTGATAACTTAGAAAATGGGTTTTTCTTTTCTCAGCCATTTGTGTTTCCAACAAGAACAGGAGATCAGCAAACCACTCAAAGGCAGATGGATCTCGGCAAATCCAATAGAAATAAACCTGTCAGGGAAAAGCAAGGAGATTCAGCAAGACACAAGCTTTCAACAAGGTTTCTATATATAAAGATCTTAAACTATTTGTATCAAGTTAAGTGGTTAATCTTATAGAAGCCACTGTACTCCAGTGTAAATTTAAACATGGTCCTGTCTAGTTTCTTTAGAGTTTCTTTGTAGCTTTGTCCTTTTTATTCTTCTTTTATGTGAGTGAATATAGTGATTTAAGCATTAATGCAATACACACACCTTTCCTTCTAACTCTGCCAGTACATCTCAATACTGGCTTATAGTACCTAATTCTGCTTTTCTTTGAACAAAAAACATTGATAACTTATAATTGCAGAGACACTCAGATGTGTAGAAATGGGTAGTAAGACAAGGCCACCACACTCGGTTACATTCAGTATCAGTTATATTCAGTACACAGGCTGCCTGTTTTGGGGATGAATCAGATGAATCGGTAAAGGAAGGTTTTGGTTACATGAAAAGAAAGGAGGTTAGGACGGCTGAATGCTGGATTACTTGAATTCTTTCCCCTTCTCTGTCACTCTTATGCCATGTCATGTAAATCACTTAAATCAAACTTTGTATAGAGCAGTGTAACCAGTGGTGGACAAGAGAACACAAGCCCCAGGAACTGACTAAAGGGCAAAATGGAGGCAGGGGGCACTGGAATAAATGCAGGGGGCTCGAGGGTCCTGGTAGCTGCAGGCTCCAGCTGTACAGAGAGCGGAATGAACAGAGGAAGAAGAGGCAGAGGCTGGGTTACTGAAGGAGGTGTCCCCCAGCCTGTCATCTGCCCCTCCCATTGCCAGTAATGGTTTTACATTATTATTCAGCATGGGAGTTGGCAGCACCTGCAGGGTCATGGGAAATCCTAACTCCTCAGGTGCCACTGTCTCCACCTTCTGGATCCTTTTTCTGCCTGCAGCTATCAGGATCCTCCAGCCTTTCTGCTTCCATCCCCTGAGATCCAGACACCCTCTGAAGCCTGTAGCTGCCCAAGCACAAACCCTATGGGGTGCACCCCTTTTTATACAGATGATAAGTCATTGCACGCGCTTCAGTTTTTGGGTGCTTCTGTTTGAGACTATAGGGCTTAATTTGGAGAAGAGTTGAGCACCCACAGCAGAGACTGAAGTCAATGGGAACTCCTCTTTGATACGAACTCTAAAAAAACAGCTTCTAAATATCTTAGATTGGATGTCCAAGAAGAGTTGAGACTTTTTACTTTAAACCTTTTGTATGCTCAAATACTTATCTGTGCAACTGGGATAATAACAACCCTTCATGTCAAAGGGTGTCATGAGGATGATTAAAGTGTGTTAAGCACTGAGATGCTCTGGTGATGACTGCTACAAAAAAGAAAGTGGAAATTAATAAGTCTGTCTTTAGAGCACCATTTAAATAGTCTGTAGGAAATAAAGCATGGAGCCATACATCGAACAAAAAAGGAGGAAACAAAATATTGCAGAGCTGCTTATTAACTGATTACTGGTCATTCTGTGCACTGGATGAGGCAGGGCTCCTGTGGAAAAAAAGTATTTGATCATATAATTAAATACTATGCTTTAATTCATATACCCAATGAGGCCAAGTTAAAGCTGCGCAAACAAACAGACTTCTGGCATCTCCTTTTAAGTGCTTGTCTTCGGAACTGTAAAAGTGTTCATTTAGTGCTCATTTTCATGTGCTATCATTTGTAGAGTGCCCAAAAGTGTGCTGGTTACAAACATGTAAGATGCTACTTCTTTTCTCCCACATAGAGAAAGAAGTTAAATCTAACAAGAAAAAAATGTGATGAAGGAAATAAAAGTAAAAGAAGTGTTGCTTGGTACTTCATTCATTGTGTACATGATTTGTATAAAGTTTTGGCAATTTTTAAATTCCTTTTCTCCCTCTAACCTGTCTTCTTGTCCTCACCATGCCCCTGACATTTAAATGCCACAGGTAGTGTGACAGCTGTGTCCTTATAGGCTTTTGTCTAAATCACAGCAAACCATGAAGGCTTGTTAACTCCATTTTAAAGCTGAACAAAACAAAAAGTCTAATCCTAGAGCCTTACCTTCTGTCCATCCAGTTGGGTGCTTGTTAGATGTCATTCCTATGTAAGCTTTTCATGTTTTTGAATAAATCATAATCTACATGGACCATATTTATGTTTTGGTGACTGTCATAATTTGACATTTGCAGCCCACTTACATTGAATACATGAGGTAAAGGTGTTCTTGGGCACAGCAACAAGGCCAGATGGCAGGATGTAGATATGTAAAGTAGGAATTAAATAGGTAAAGAACAGGGGTATGAATGGCATCAGGATTAGAGTTATTTGGAAAAACCTTGATTCTAATTACCTTGGGTCTGATTTACCATTCTAGTTACTGTTTTTTACTTGAAGTTAACCTCAGTGGAGCTGCTACTGACTCTTGAAGCTCATTGGCTTTAAAAGATTTCTTTGCATAACTAGCAATGGTGTGCTTTTAAGTTAACTGCAATATAGCCTTATGCTTTAGACACCTTTTGAATGAGAATTTTGAAATCTTTGGTTGCATAGTACCTCTGAAAATCAGATAATTGGAAATTACTCATATTTATTCCATTGTGGCTGTTGCTGATTTCTGGTGAGAAGTTTTCCCTGCCACCTCTATTTGGCAGTCTAATTTCTCAAAGCTTTCCATCAATTTACCGTATAAAATATATATGGTTAGCACATCGAGGTGGAGAAGGAATGGATATAATAACCCAAATCTAACATATTGGCCAAATTCATCCCTGGAGTAACTACAATGAGCTATTGTGATTTTTGGGTCTCACAAACCAAATGAGAAATCTTTGTTGTTAATGAACAGAATTGTTCATCACTATGAACATTTGTGGCCATGATTAGCATTCTGAGAAAGAAGGAAAAAGCTGTTGAGGAAGACTGGCCTATGGAAAAATAAAACTGAGGCATATGGACTTCTAATAAAATAAGGGTAATAATAGCAAATACTGTTTATAAAGAACTTCCCTTTCCTTCCACTGAGATGCCTGGGGCATTGCACAGCATACTAGATATATAATTAAAATATAATAAACACAATAAAACATACCCTTTTTAACTGGGGAATAAAAACACCCAGCAACAGTTTATTTCTATAATTAAGACAATATTCTGAATTCTATATTTTTATTATTAGATTCGTAGCATTAACTGCCTGTGCTATTATTTAGGATTCTCAAAAAGTCTTATTAGATTTATGTTTCCCTGGTCTCCACCCATCCCACCCTCCTCTACTATATTCATCAGCTTGATGGCTTGCACAAGTCACCCGCCCTAAATTTTCCAAGCGCTCTTTCAGCAAATTGAGTTAGATGCAGTATTACTATTAATCAAAACTGTAATGTAGGATTTTGAGCAGTGTGTTATTCCTATAACACTCCGTGCCCTTGCAGTGCTCATATATTTATCATTCCTTTTTCCTCCATCCCACATTTTTGTACAGCAAACAAGAACAGGGAATTCGGATCCATCTTATATAACTGTGCAGGCCTATACTTCATAAGTCTGCTTTTACCACATAGTAGGACATTGTTAAAAAGTACTCCTTAATGAACATTCACCTTCCTCTCCTTCTCTCTTCTGCACTCCCCCACCCCCCCTATGCTTGTGAACACTGGAGAAGTGAGTAGGGCTGTAGTGACCAAGGAGATCCTGTTTGTTTAGATACAACATAGGCATAATTAATCAAGGAAAGTCTAGAGGAGGATATTCATCATCTGTTCTTACTGCTGACTCCTACATGTGTAACATATAAACTCCTCTAAACCTGCTTCCAGGAAGCTGTAGATGTCCTGACCATTCCCACAACCTGACTAGCTATGCTAGTGGTACAGCCAGCCACAATATAGTTACCTTTGATTCTCCACTCTAAAGATGAAGGCCTTGCAAGGGGGCATTGCAAAGATCAGCCAAAATTTAGCAGTCAGACTTATAGGGATAAAGGCTGCTTCTCAAAATCTGTTTTATAATGAGGTTACATTTGACAAGTGAATATTGTCTTTTATGCATTCAAAATTACTATGTTTTCCTAGTAAGCTTGTGGGAAGGGGTAAAAAATAAGGGTGGAACAAATGAGGATGCAGCTGTTTGCCAGTGCTAAAATCCAAGTTACCAAAATAATTGAATACATTCTAATGGCAAATTGCAAATGAAGAGCTGTGGATGTGGGGAAAAAAATCCAGCCTGTGCATAATGAAAACTAGTGGTAACATTCCAGTCATTAGCCGTAGAATATCCAGGCTTAATCTCTAAAAAGCAATAGCACAACTATGGCTCTAAGCCTATTTACTTGTGAAAAATTAATTAGATAAATTTGTACTGCTTTTGGCTTGATGGGTTTTTTTTTCTAAATTAAATCACTGCAGGGTTTATGGAAGGTATGAGTATTTGTATCTCTACTATATGTGGGCAACACTAAGAAATATTTGTTCAATAAATGTAATGATAGCTGTACTCAAATCAAAACAAAGTTGTTAAAAAAAAGAGAAACCTCTCATTTATTTCCTTAATAGACATTTCTATGGTACTCATCACTGCAGAAAGTGCTGCATACTTTGCAACAGATTAAGTTATTTATAATTATATTATAAGTGGAAGCTCTTAGCCAATGAAAAAAGCAAAGTTACTCTGAAGGCATGGGCAAATTATCAAGTTCCTCCAAGGTAAACAAGGGTAGGGATTTACGGTGCATCAGCTACTCTATATGCTTTGACCTATAATAAATTAAAGCTGACCCATGGTAGCTTGCCCTCTTCCACTCAAGCCCTTACCCCTTGGTTAGCTTTTAGCTATAGGGTGATATGAGTGTGTATACAGGCAAAGTTACATGACATACTATAACAGAACGTACTATAATACTAACTCCATGCCTTTGTTAACTTTGTGGTAACTTGTTGATAGGCTCATGCCCTGAGATTGTCACTGTGATCGATAAGCAATATGAGCACTTCAGTCTCCTACAG